GACAAGAGGCAAATTAGAGCGAAGCTCCTCGCCGGTGTCTGAGCGGGTCAGCTGTTGGGAACAGGCTCATTTCCTTTAACAATCACAGTCTGTGCACTTACAGGAATACAGTTGTGGACCTGATCCTGCAAAACACGCAGTGAAACACGGAACAAGCAGCCAAGAGAATTGCGCGGGAGCCTTTCTGCAAAAGCGCAGACCACGAGGACTGCAGGAAATCGTTACACTACAGCACAGGCCGGGCACCTTTGTGGTGAGCCCTGAGATATGGAGAACCCCAAGAAGATACCCAAGAACCAAGGTTTAATATCTTAACTATCAATTTACTATAGAAATATTTTAGTATTTTCAGAGTTTGAGATTCAGAGCTGCTCTGTACTTGCAGCTTTAAAATGCGCAGAAATCTTAAGCGCTACAAAATCGTCTCATGTTCCTCCAAAACAAGCAAGAAAATGCGTTCCCTGCGCTTGACATTTTAAGAGAGATTGTTATTCTAGGGGTTTCTCAAGCAGGAAACGTCAGTTAACAGAGTAGCTGCTACTGAAAGCTGCAGAGAGCTCTATGGAAACAGGCAAGATGTGCGGACGCAGGCAGAGGCAGTGAGGGAACAGCAGGGCCTTTGCCACGGCCTCCTGCGCGGCTGGGAGCTGCCTCTGCCCCAGCACCACTGGCCGTCCCTGCGGCAGCCGCCTCTGCAGAGCAGGGACAGCGGGCTGCCCTTCTCCAGGCTCTTTGGGAGAACTCTCTCTGCAAGCTGGAGCTATAGCTGACACGATGCGTAAGGCAGCCCCGCATTCAGCACGCCGCCACCTCTACCCTACTGCTGTCCACTACAGAGATACCGTATCTTTAAAATCAAAATTGTTTCATAGATAATATTAAATAGGACTTCAGCARAATTTTCAGATATGCTTCACAAAAATATTGCAGAGTTCTTTTTTTCTTTTTGCATAAATGGGTGCACTCAAGAGAGTGTGTAGTTAAGAAAGTATCTACATCTACAGTATCTATGGGGAAGGAGATGAGCCTAACTACAGCAAGTCAGCTGAGCTGCATGGCTCGGAGAGCTACCGGCGGCACCTTTTGTTGGGTGCTGGGTACTAGATACTGCTCTGAGGAGAGACACAAATGTCCTCCAAGATCCTTAGTTTATTCCTGTATTTGGCACCCTACAAAAACAACAAGAGGTATTCACTTTAAACCTTTATCTCTCTTTAAATCATGAAAATATTTTACATCCTGTCCTTGAATGTGTTTTATGAGAGATGTAAATTATAATTTTCAGAGCTCTCAAATAGAAGTATGTCCACTTAAGTGAGACTCAGTTTTGCAATTCAAAAGGCAATTTCAAAATGCAAATCTACTCTGTGTACATTAAGTATAAACTGTAAAGAACAATCATCATTTCCATACAATATTGCGTAGTTTAATGTGGAAATATAATCCATTTGGAATTAAAACAGTCACACAAAATAAGCTTGCATATTTTATGAATAAATGAATTTAAATTCAGTATCAAAATTCAATATCAAAGTTTGCTCAAAATCATTATGAGCAAACTCAAAATAAGGTGGGATTTCCATTTCCTTTTTGGGAATAGCACATACCATTTCTAAGACCTTGAATGGCAAATCGAGAGCATAACCTTGTTTTAGAAGACTCCTCCTCATTGCATTTAAATAGACTGTCACAAGTGCAGAGCTGCAGCTTCTTACTGCATACCAATGGAAAGCTGCTTGTGTGGTCCATCTCAYGGACTGACAAGAAAAAAAGATTCAAGAAGTAGTATTTATTCATTAAGATAAAGATAATTTTAAAGAAAATGCTCCACATTTATCAGTTTTATCCACAGTAATAAAAATATTTGTATTTTTCTTTTCCCTGCATTGAAATTAGAGCAAGATATCTATGACCCCCCATAATAATCCCAKGTGGTGACCTGTGTAGCAGAACAACAATATTTTAGGGCAAACTCTTAGTTTCAGGGGTTTAGCCATTTTATTTGATAGAACTGTCTGGAGTCCAAGGGCCCTCATTTGTACTCAGCCTTGACTGCTGTGGAACAAAACAGCAACGCTGCTAACTGGGTAATCATGATTCAGTTTTTCAGAATGATGCTTTTTAAGATTTATCTTACTTCATGATTTTTCTGTGAAAAATAAACAGACCAACCGTCCCATGAGGCAGAGAGGGTGCCCAGCCCACGGCGCCCGGCCGAGCCGATGGGGTTATGCCAGGTGGGGACAGCTCCGCACCCCCGTTCCCGGTGCCAGCCTTGGCAGCCAGAGGCGGCCGCATCCCYGGACAGAGCTGCAGGTCGTTGTTGTCAGGGCTCTGCTGGGGTTAACAAACAACCTCTCAGCAGATTTTGCCTGAATTAACATCACATTCATGATCTACTCTGCTTTTTAAGATTATAGAGGTACTCTTCATTTTCTAAAGAAATAATACAGCACTAGAAATCTCTGACAGTACAGACCATGGGAAAAACAAATATTGCCAGAATTAGCGATATGCCATACAAAGTCAAACAAACAAAACCTCTATTTATTGCTGAAAACCTGCAGCTCTGAGGATCCGTCAACCAAGAGGCACCGCGGTGCTCTGTGCTGAGCAAAGCAGGAAATCAGTTTCCTAGTCAGTTAGGAAGGGCAGCGCGCGGCGTGCGGCTCTCACACAGACATCCATCTACGCCCCTGAGATTTATCGGTGAGGAGATAAGCGAGCCGGAGCGCGCAGCACGATGCAGAGCAGCAGCTCCCCGCTCTGGGGCTGATCRCGGCGTGTCGCAGCTCACGCGCTTGTCGGCTCCACAGAACAGCGCCCGGCATCTCGCCAGACAAAGGAYGGCGCTTTTAGCAGCTGCTTTGTATGTCCAAGGCATGTATTTTTAATGACAACACATAGTTTGACATCATGGGTAATTCACCATCCGCACAGCTGAGTAATAGCCTGTCACCAGACCAGCCGAAGAGCTAAAACTCACAAAAATAATAAAAGCAGCTTTTTTAAATGTAGGCACCAAGGAACCTCTGACACACAGCTGGAAGCACATGCTTTTATAGCTGCTTTTTCTACAGTGGCTTTTCTCATCAGTGAGACAGCCTTTTCCTGACATGTACTGCAATAAAAACGTTTACAAAATCAAGAGCATTGGAGAGAGCTGCTAGGAAAAGAGGAAAGACCAGAATTTTTGCTTATCTCAGTAATTTAACAGTCTACAGAAAGCTATAGAAAATACTATATTGACATTCTGCCAGTAGAATGCAAACTTCAATTAATTTTTTTCTTCTTACAGTTTYTGGGCTTTTCAAACAAGATTGAAAAGCAGATCAGGTAGGGATGATTCCCACAGAAAGCACCAAACTACATACCCATCCCTTCTATGTTTGAGATGTAAGCATCGGATTTGGAACTGAGTACATGCAGGCTTTGCTTCTGTCTCAAAGGATTATATTTTGCAATCTAAAAATCCACAGACCTCAAATTTAGGAAAAATAAAACTTAGTTTCATTAACTCGTCTTCYTAGCGCTGGAGTTGGCCTAGCAGTGGCAAAGTGCTGAGTCTCAGCTAGACAACAAGGAAGAGGAAAGTGCAAGTAGATGGCATGGGTTCAGTTTGTCTAGAGTTTATAATTAAGGAGTTTATTATTTGGGGGAGAGGAGATAGGCATTASAATCATAGAACCATATGGCTGGAAAAGATCTTCCAGATGATGGAGCCCAACCACAGGCCCCCTAGGACTTCTGGACTGTTTTGCTGGATGGCTGGAGTTGGACACAGGGGTTCAGAGCAGGCCATGGGGTGCTGGGGCAAGGGAGGCAGGGCAGGAGAACCCCAAGGAAGGAACAGGGAGGAACAGCCTCAGGCATCTGAGAGACCGAGATTCGGACCCAAGTAAGGAAGAGTGAGAGGAGGAGAGCAAGGAATAGAGACAGAAAAATCAGTGTTTTCCACTGAAAGTTCAATTAAAACCAACTAACCAAGCAACTCTTGCTAATCCATTTTGTTGTGTTAAATTGGTAAGGTGAGACTGACCCTTAAGCCARTGACTTCTCATAAATGATAGGTCTCCTCTCAATTTAATCTGTAAAATATCCCCTATATTATACATAAGACATAATATATGGTCTAACACACTACATTTCAGAGTAGAATACAATATTAAACAGGACATAAAAGAAGAAAAAGAGTAGAGCAGAGAAAAAACGGTATGCATATAAAAGCAGAAACATATTGTAGACCAGCAAAAAAAAAAAAGCTATGGTCTTCAAATAATATATCTCTTTTATTCRCAGTCTGTTAAGTATTATGAAGTGATCTTCAACATCCAAATAATCCTCAAATGACCTACAAATACAGAATTAATAAATCTCATTAAGAGCCAGCATAGTATGTTTATGGATGAGGTTGGGCAGAACGGAAGCAGTAAAGACAAAAATGAACATGAAAATACAAAATGCAAAAGGTCTGGAGAGGCCTGAAGGAATAATTGACTCAAGGGAATAGTGACTTGAGATGCTCCCTCACCTCGCCACGGCAGGACAAACCTTGAGCTGCAAACACTCACAGGTTGGGAATCTCAGTGCATGGTACTTTTGAGCACAAGGCGGGGAAATTTTTCTACAGAATTCTTAAAGAATAGGAATCCTTGAAATGGGCATTTTCAAGCCCTGCCTCAAACAGAGGTGCTGGAATTTTAGCATGGATTTCCTTTCTCCAAAATATTACTTAGCCATTGAAGCAGAAAATTTTAGGGAAAAAAAAGGAGACTTTCCCTGTCAATCTTTCCCTTTTAATCACATGATTTTCCCTTCCTTTATTCTTGAAGTATCATCTTTACTTTCTCTTTTCTTTAGGTCAGACATCTAAAAGATTGTGGAATTTTTGTTTTATCTGTTTAAAAAAAAGTTCCAGTCCCTTGAAACCCTTTTCCAGCTGGGCTGCGGTTTATTAAATGGTGGTCCAGTTTATTAAGGAAGCTGACAGAACCATATTTTTGCCACATTTAGAAGCTAAACAAGCAAGAGAATATTCAAGTCTCAACTTACCTATAATTTTATAGTCATTTTAATGATCACATCTCATAGCACTTTGATCATGTTCAGAGTTGTCTCATCAGTCTTGGAAAGATGACCTTGTCTGGCAGTATTTTCAGTCAAACTGGGAGACAATCTCACTTTTATTTTCTTTACAAAGACAACTAATAATGACTAAAGTTATTTAGTTAACTGTACAGTCATATCCTAAAAACTGACTCTACAGGACTTTCCCCTGAAGGCCTCCAACTTTCTCTCCTTTTCTAGCAGCCTGAACAGAAAGCATCGTGTTATAAAGGAGAGATGAAAGGAAAATTGTGAGGATGATGGCCCTTTCATCTGCAGGTCTTTGAAGAACAGGTATAGGGCAAATTCTTCTGATTCTTCCTGAATAATGTACTCTACCAGCCCCAGCAATAGTTCTGTGCTGTAAATAACTGCAGCAGAACAGATTTCTCAGTATTTTTGGCTGGAGTTCTGTGTTTTAGAAGATGCTGCCTCACACTTGAAACTTTCTAGGGGAAGTTTTGTTTGAAAAGTTTGCATCCAAGACAGGATTTCAGAGAAGACGACATCTCTGGATTAACTAGCTGCAGCTAATTCTGGTTTACTGGGGCCCATAGCTGCACTTCCCACACACAGCCTATGGAAAGCACAGAGCAAAACAGCAATTAYGCAGGAAAAGAGGGACTCGGAAATGGACCAAAGGCACAAAGCTTCACATAAGGGCCTCCCCACTCATCCAACTTCCCAATCCATTTGGTTTTCCAGGGTAGCTTGTTACTGGCTATGATGCACGTAGCTCGAGCCACTCTTGAACTGAAAAAGGGATTTCATCGTAAAAAATGAGTTTTAAGCCCATATTTATAAGATGCCATTACTGAACATAACTTTAGCAGTTAAACTCTTTAGCAGTGTTTATCGTGTATTTCTAGCATCAGGAAATGCTTTTTCTAAATCAAACTCTTCTTGATCATGCAGCAGAATTCCCCCCATGACTTCATATCAGGACCTGCAATTCAGCCTTCATCCCTATGCATCCGTCACAATATCTGTATTGCTAATATAAAAACTTCCTCTTTGTATCTAACTTTGTTATCTCATAATAAACACCATTTTTGCAAATAAAGTCATTGGCAAGTAATATACTATTTGGCACTGCTCTTTTTATCTGAATAATTTGCTAGGACAGATATACTATAGCCTGTATTAAATGTTGAGATTATTGAACATGTGCTTGTGCAGAATTAATATTTTATAGTTTCTAGGTCCTGTGTGGGCTGGCTGTTCTCCTGRAATGCGGTAGCACCATGGAAACGTTGGGAGATATTTTCTCTTAATTGCATGAATGGTTGACAGATATTAGTACAGTACCATGGAATTAAACTCCGATTGCTGATGAATTCTGATGGGCTGCTATAGGGTTTCTGTTGTCTTGGTTTTATTTTTAATCTTGGCAACATCTGTCCTTGTCCATTATAATTTCTTAAAGCTTTAATGTCAGTAGGTATTGTATCTGTATGATATGTAGCATATAATTACCACAACTATAGCTCACATAGAGGTAAACTCTTTTAGCTTAGAAAATTGCTTTTTTGAGAAAGAGCATAATAAAAATCTCTTGAATGATTAAAAACCCTAATTAAATGTTTTCCTTTTTAATTGTTATTTTGATATCAAAAATCTAATTCTCCAAATGATTATGATAAACCCTTGATTTTACAAGTGTTTAAAATGAAGTATTTAAACATTGTTATTCAAAACTATTGACAGCAAATACAGGTGATTGGTTATAAATTGATTTTTTGTGTGTTCTCCAAGTTAGAGTTGTGCAGTACTTTATATGACTGAGCCCTAGAAATCACTGAGGATTAATTACATCATGAAGCCGTTTTATACAGCATCTTGGGGTTTTTTGTAAGGTCTTTGTAAGGTGAACCACTGTATGGTTCTCCATTCTGTAACCATTTGGGATGCATGTTATATCTACATATATAGCAAATGAGCAAGAGAACTASAGAAATAATATGAGTGACAAGTAAAAATGAATAATCTTATTAAAACACTTTTACAGTTGTGTAATTTCCTCAAACATCAGTACAAGAGGCTAGGAGCTGTGCTCTTACCAGTGCAATTCAATRAAATGAGTAAAGGAGATGGTAACCCTGCTCAGATGATCTCTTTCTGATAACTACAGCTGGCCTCTTGTGTCCTCTTTCGTGTCCAAGTTTGCACGCTACAGATGTGGGGGCCTGACTTTCTCAGAGCTAGAGCTACCCGACTCTTGGGCCTTAACAGTAGCTTCTTCAGCAGCTTCTTCTTACACCTTATCGTGTAAGGTCAGGCACGCCACACACTGCCCGGCCTTCTAGGAGCTGATACCAGCAATTCAATGACCCAGACCCTCCTGAAACAGATCTTTTTCTTTTAAGTTTTGCAATATTAACAGAATTTAAATATGGAGAAATTCTCCATATCAATCTAGCTTACCAGAATCTATGCAGTCCAGACCCAAATGTTCAGTAATCATGGCTTCAGTTCGCTCAGCTCTTCCCTCTGTAGAAAAGACACATCTTTAAATTCACTCACACCAAGTTTAACTCAAAATTCAAACTAAATTTTGTTACAGCAATGAGATAAGCAATCATATGTAATTAAAAATATTTCTATATTACAAGCTGACCATACAAAAATTATGTAAAGCACTTGGAAGTTTTCTATAGGAATATTTTATTTTCTTTCTCCTACTAATTTCTTTCTATGCTAATTAGAGGCAATAGGAAGCAACAGAGGGAGACAAAGGAGAACACTTATCATCCAGCTGCTTTCAAGTCTTATGACTTTAACCATAAAAAATTAGGAAAACAGGAAARATAAGGAAATTCTGCTATCTACGGAAAACATATAGCACATTATCTTTGAGGAAATACTTAATCTGCCCATGTGAACTTGTGACATACACAAACCTACACAAACCTTCTCTGCATCACTTGTTCTACATTACACAGTGTCACTAAGGTAGGCTACATATATTTGCTCAATAGCATGAGACTTTTTGATGTTTAACATAAACTACAATAATTATCCTTAACTATACAAACAAACAAAAAAAATCATTCTTTATATAAGACAAAGACCTAGTACCAAGACTAATCACAGTATCACTCCCTTTTCAACACAACAGCATTGTTGGTATTAGCAGTTGAATACACAAGTTTTACAGTGTGCTTGAGGGCATGTGATATGGGAACCATGAGTTCCTGAAGCATTTTCCACTTCCAAACACAACTKTTTTTCCTGTACTTTGCATGCTTTAGTGCTTGGTCACTAGTAAGTTCAGGGCTGGACATATTTCAATCTAGTTTAGAGGTGAGAATCAAAACAAGAAGGAAAAGGTTTTACTTTGTTTTTGTTTATAGAAATCTTTGGACCAACTCATATTTCTTAAAACAGCAAGAACGACATAACAAATTTATCTAAATTGCATTATGTTCTGCCAATTTGCAAAAGCAGAACATTAACTGTTGTACCACTAGAGCTATGGCTGAGCCTTTGCTCTAACTTAAATGCTAATACAAATTCATACCCTGAGTGCAATCTGAACCAGGTGCAGTTTCTAGCAGCCATTGTTATCTTTTCTTCAAAAGTTTTCATAGACTCTTTAAACAGCAAATTCTGAAGCATTTTCAGGAGACTTCTGATTTTAATCAAAACATATCACATATACACAAAAGAAAAATAAGAATTCTCTTCTTATTCTCTATATATCTCTCATTCCCTGTCTAGAAGGGAATGATAGATTTTTAGTCACTTTGTTCCTATAATAACAGYTACATGTAAAGCCCTCGCAGGATAGTGGGGTTTGAAAACTGAGAGATTTTTTGCTGTCTCTGTGTTGATTTGCTTCATGCTCTCTGCTAAAACTCTCAAGAAGCCAATGTTCAAGACAGCCAAATGCTATTAGTGCTATTAATATTATTATTAATATATCATCATTAATATTAATATGTCATTAAAAACATCCAGTAAGCTTTAGAGGGTAAAAAATTTACCATGAATGTCTCTGAGCCAAATCCCAAACAAGATGTCTGTAAAAACGAGGGCAGGGATTACAGCTCTACACTTGKATCTAGCTGGATTGTGTCACTGGCTCTTTTTCCAACATGTGGAAGTAAAGCCTGGATCTAATCAAGTTCTCCATTTTGCAATTGTTCAAAATTCAAATTTGGACTTTACAATTTGAAGTCATTGCTGCTATAMATTAAGAAGAGTATCTAAGCAAAAGTCCTAAGGTAAAAGGACTCTTTTATATCCATTCTTTTAATGTTCCCTCTATTGCTAGGTAAGTCCTTATCTTTCCGCACATCCAGATGCACTGTTACACAGACTGTGCAACAGGAATAGTTTCTGTCTCTATATTTGGAGAAGGCAGCACGCTTATCCTTCAGCATTCCTTGAGCCTTGACCTCAGGAACAGCWGGAGACAGTCCAGGGGGACAGTCCTCCTTCATGAGGCCTTCTCATTTTTTTGTGCTRTGATACAACAGTACAAATATATTAATAAACTCGTGATCAGATCTGAATGTACTGCCACTGAACCCTCACACTGCCCYTTTCACAGGGGTCTTCCTTTTACAGTCCGAAGGAAAAGAGGCCTGGATCGCTCGAAGAGGTGCCCAACACGCATAGGCAAGTTGCACAGGCAACAAATGCACAGGTTTTCAGCAGCTCCATTGTCACAGAACASAGTCCTAGGCACACAGACACACACACAGGTGAAGCACATCTGGGGGCTCTTTCAATTTGCAAAGACCCAAGTAATGGCAACCTGCCCCTGTATTTATTGACACAAGTTCTACAGCTCCAGTAACWGAAGTCTGCCTTCCTGGTGCCAGAAGCCCTGGATTCAAATCCCTCTTTTGTTTGGTTCCTGGGCACTTTCAAAAAGTATCTCGAAAATACCAAGWAAATACCAAAACGACAATCATGTAAACGAAACATAGTTGGTTTGGAATACATCATTTTATTCTCTACAGCTATTAAGAAAATGACACAATTATTATTTTTGTACTATTTTAACAAAGTAAACTMTTTACTGTGTTAAAGCTTAAACTTAATATGAAACTTAAAGTTTCATTATTTCCTTATAAATTCACCTACAGGAGGGCAGATGAGTTCTGAAGTTAACTTCAGATGTTGAACAGCCTAAACTTGGCACTTTTAAGAGGAAATGTTCAAAGTATTACATGGTATTTGACTTGCATTGAAATTAAGAGTAGGCATGAAACCCTGCACACTGGGTTAAAAATGTAAGGATTACTGTAAACATTGCATGCTTTGTCTGATCACTAAGTAGAAAAATGTTTYAGAGCCTGTGCAGTTTATACCCAGCCTGAATTCAGATGACAGATTTGAGAAGTAGGTTTCTGTCAAATCACATGCACAAGTGCCATTCACTGTGATGTTAATGCCCAGAAACAATAACGCTAACGCCTAAGGAAAGAAATTTATGCACAGAGAAATGGGCCTCTTTGGTTGGAAAGCAGAGCTCAGCGGGGTAACAAACCTACAAAGATCCATGAGAAACAGCCAGGTAACCAGGTACCTTTTATGCATACCCTGAGCTGAACATACACGTAATCGGCGACGCAAAAGCATGACTCCTTCACATTGCTCTTTGTATAAATGTGCGTAGTTCAGCACATTTCCACCAGCATCATTCAGATTAAATCAAATCAATTTTCAGCATATTATTACATGACTTTTGGCATTTGTAAACTTGTATACGTATATTCTAAAATTAGAGTTGTTTAAAATGAGTAATTAGAGGGGAAAATCTGGCTGAAAAGAATTGAAAACCAAGTTAATCAGRGGTGAGGTTGGTTGCATTTCCTACTGAAATTGAATGGAGATTGCTCAACACTTAAGATTGGATTGTATAAGAAATAGTTCTCATATCAGAAAACATCTGGTATTTCACTAGTGTTCACATTCTAGTTCRGGTATAGGGGAGGTTGCCTGTGGTATTTTTTCTTCTTTACTGAGCAYTGCTTTTAAGAAAGACTCCCTTTCCAAAAGCAGTGTGGTTGAGGAACTCAGAGCTCCCTTGGGGCCCTGAATGGGGAACTTAGACTTCAACCTGCCCTAACCCTCATGCCCCCAACTCTTCTGCCCTGCTAAACCACTCCTGTTGTGCTGTTTTGGCAAAAACATAGGGTTTGTATTTATTAGATGACATCCCCACATGGGGCATGACATGAAAGCCAAGATCACTACCTGCAAGTTCCCTGTTATCCCCCATGACAGTTYCCAGTTCCATCATGCTGATTTCTTTGCAGATCTGTCCTTTTACTCCTAATCTTTCTGGTCTCTCTACTTATTCACAAGAGATTAATTAATCCAATTTTTTATACAGCTAGAGGCAAAGTCCTTCCCGTCTTCTCAAATGTCCTAACAGCTGGCTCTAAGCCAGCTGGAAAAATCCTGGTTTAGCGCTTCTTTCAGTTTATCAAAAACTGCTCTACTGAAACCAAGAACCTTTATTTCCAGCATTCTATTTAATGAAGTCACCTACTATTGTAGGAAGGTCATTTTTAACAACAAGACCTAAAATACTTCGAGAACAGTATCGCCTCTTTTGCAATCAATGAATATTTGGCTAGAAACTGAATAGCTGTAACCTGAAATAAAGGATACCATCTGAAATCAGTGTGGACTGTGATCCAGAAAAAGAAATAAAAAGGTTGTCATTTTTGTAGAAAGTTTGCAGATAAAGTAATTATGAAATTTAACAAAATATTTACTCCACACAACTCCAAATCTATTCATAGTAAATTACATTGTGTTACTATGACACTGAGGCAAGCATGYAAGAGAATTGCATTGCCAGAGTGCTCACGGAAAAGTACCATCACAATGGTAGGGGCTGTAAAGCAGAGATGATGCTGTCACCAAGAGCAAATAGTGAGTAGTTACAAATATTATAAAGTGCTCGAGAAGAACATGACTRTTCCTCCTTCTCTCCTAAGGTAATTATCTCTTCTTCTCTTTTTAATGTATATTGAAATGAATGTTCATGTTAATGCAACAAAATGAACTGAACTACATAAGACAAGCAGTATCATCAACTGCAAAATGTTTCATTTTATCTTTGTGAGCAAGAATGCATATCTTASCACAAATCAGAATCATTAGGTAATCTATTTAACGTGCACACAAGTAGATGATTTCTTTGGGGGAAAAAGAGGAGAGGAAAACTCAACAGCACCCCTGATCTCTTACCAGAAAAGTGGTACCTATATGTTAATCATGCAAATGTTTATGAAGCCTCTCACTTCCTTAATATATTGATCCTGCCCTTGTTTCCCAGGGCTAATTTGTTCTCTCTGCCTTGCCTTCAGGATTTTTCTTAGAGTCTAGTGTTTCTAATCAAATCACAGCATATTTCCAGTGTATTTTTTCTCCTGTTTAGAACATTTCAGCTTTTCTGTGTCAGTCCTCCAACAAAAATATTTGCATCAATAAGGYCTACCCTCTAGAGCCTTTCTGTGTATACA